CACACAGAAATTTCTGCTCAGATCATGCATACAAACACTCACTAGAGTTTATCGTACAAGGGGGATCTCAGCCATCCAGCCATAATCATATACATGCAAACAGACTCTTAATATGGTCCATTTGTACAGTGTCAACTTCCAGTTGTCACCCTCAGTTACACTACTTAGGTTATACTGTATTTTACTACTTACAGTAAGATAGTGTACATCAATTTCATTTTGGCTATTAAGCACAGTAGCAGTGTATCTACAGTGTTACAGATACTGCATACAGCAAGTAACGGTTGGATTAATAAATTTGTTATGTTTACAGTGGTGTTTGGTGAGATAGCCAACTTTACAGCTTATGCATTTGCTCCCGCAGTATTAGTAACACCGCTGGGTGCTCTGAGTGTTCTAGTCAGGTAAGAATACAACTTATAACAAAATGTAAATGTACAGTTATCTAAATCTATAATCGTATTATAGAGCCTCGAGTAGCGGTCAAAATTGTCCAGAAAAATGTCCAACCGAAATGAAAGTTAGTCGCACATTTTGGAATTTGGTCAGACATCAAGCACTAGCAGTAAATAATACTTCAAGCTACATTTACATACTGTGATTTATTGGGGCTGGGATGATTTCAGAAAGTATTATCAACTGACAATATTTGTCATCCAGAAAAAACAGAAATTGGCCCAACATATTGCAATGTGTAAAGTTAACGTACCTTTTATAGTATACATCTTGTTTCCTGAGCCCGCATTTTTGCGCCAATTTGCTTATCTTTCAATTTTGTTTTCAGTGCTATATTAGCTTCATATTTTCTTCGCGAAGACTTAAATATCCATGGAAAAATTGGTTGTTTTCTATCCCTTGTTGGGTCAGTGGTCCTCGTAATTCATGCGCCCCAAGAGGAGTCAATTGCCACAGTTGAGGAACTGAGTGCTAAATTAACAGATGCAGGTAGGTTATTGTATACTGCTCGTTAATAATATGTATGGGTGGTTTTACAGTACAGCACAGTCCAGTACAGTATGTCTTCCTTGTTGGAGGGAAGCGCTATTGAAGAACGGAAACTCCTATTTCTATTCACTCTGTTGAACGTACAGTACATGTAAGTACTCGTACCCTCTAACATGGTAGTCATGATTCCACTTGAAAACACTCTATTTACTGCTGTTGTGTAAAACATTTCCTGTATAGTAATCACTACTTCACTTGTCATCCTTTATTGTTGTGCGGTTTCCTATCCAAAACTGGCGGACAAGGCCTGGCCGCATGGCGCGAGAAGCCTAATTAAAGAAAAGAGAAACCTGAAACGGCTCAATATAATATTCCAATTGCGGATAAGATCGTTTCTCGAGTTCTCCGCAATGCCCCATCCAGAACGTTTTAATAATTTCGGATTTGATCAGTAAATACTAGAACTGTAATTTTGACCAAAAAAATGGGAATGAGATTTCATTTTTAAAATTGTAGGACTGACAAAAATGCACAGCATAATTTTATTGAGAAATAGATGATATTTGCTTGGGATCAGGTTTCATGCATGGGCATACTGTACATCCTTGTCCAAAGGAAAAACTCCTGTGTTTCTACGTGACTAAATTCACTCCATCGCTTGTTGCCGTCTATTTCTCCTACGCGGTTTGCCACCCAAATGTTTCGGATAAGGACTGGTCCCATGGCATCAGAAAGGCTGATTAAATTAAGCACTTTTTTTTCTTCAGCTTTTGTCGCCTACGCTTGCATAGTTTTACTCGTTAGTGTGGTGTTAATCTTTCATTATGGTCCTCGATATGGCAAGGAAAATATACTTATTTATGTTGCAATCTGTTCCTTGGTTGGCTCATTATCTGTCATGGGTTGTAAAGGCCTTGGCATTGTTCTCAAGCAATTATTTAACGGAGAAAATGAGTTAAAGAATCCTGTTGCTTGGATGTTATTATTTGCCGTTGCTGGCTGTATTGTCACTCAGATGAACTATCTTAACAAAGCTTTGGATATATTCAATACGGCATTAGTTACACCAATATATTACGTCATGTTCACAACCTTGACTATTATTGCGTCTGCAATTCTCTTCAAAGAATGGTCGAATAGAAATGCGAAAGACGTTTTGGGCGCCCTAGCTGGTTTACTCACCATTATTGTCGGTGTGTTTCTGTTACATGCGTTCAGAGACGTGAAATTTTCAATTCATGATTTGCCTGGTTTGTCAAAGTTCGCGAGATCTAGTAGCACCAGACCTCGTACGGATGGTGCGGAACAAGTTCTTATGCAAAACATTGTAGAAGGTGACTCAGATGAAGATAGCGAGGTCGAAGTCAAAGTGGTTGGGAACTCTGTTGGGAATCATAGCTAGGCTATTCTTAATTAACAATATGTCTTTTTGTACAGTACAAAAGCTGATAAAAAGTATATAAAATGATAATTAGAATCTAGGAATTAGAACGGAATTGATATTTTGGTAGATGCTGTCAAAACAACTGCCAAACCATCAATTACAGAAAGCACACTGTGACGGTGTTTGAGAATTTTTGATTTTGCAGCCATGCCTGCGTATATCCTTTGTCAAAGCCAGGATACTTTCTCGCGTGCACATATACGCAAAATATCCTCGGTATGAGGTTGTATTTTTACCAGCAGGTTGGGAAGTTAGTCAAAATAAAGTCCTAGACAAAGAGGTGAGAGTGAACGATTAATTACTATCGCTGAAGTGATACCGGCGAATTTAGTTATTGGGTCGTTCAGGAGAAATTTTTCATGGGAGTTAAAACAAATGTAATTATTATTATTAACAATTTCAATTCCATTTTTATGGTCAAAGTTTATTTAACAAACGAAGGAAGTCTTATTAGACGATTTTTAATTTATATTTGTGACGTACATATATGATAGGAACAAACGTAGTACATAATTTATCTTTGGCCATGCGATAGTGGGCAGTAATAAATTTTATACTAATGTAAATTATTGTGTAATACTAATAGAGTTAATAGGGCGAATTAAGATTCGTATTAGTATGCTACGTTCATCTACTATGTCTTTAAATATAAGCATTTGAAACTGACCTCAAGTTGCATGATCTTGCCTGAATTTCAGAACATTCAGACTAAAGTTAAACAATTATTAATATTAATCCCCGAGCCAACGGCGCAGAGCGCCGTGCCGGGCGTAAGCCCGGGCGAGGGTACTATTTCCGCCCGGCTTTTACACCCGGGGAAAGGAAAGCATTAGCGAAGTCTAAAGTTCATCAATGATCGCGGGCGCATGGTGTATGGGTGGTCATCTCACTGATCTCAAAATATGGCTGTTTGCCAGGAGTGAAGAAGGCAAAAATATAAAAAATACATGTAAGAAAGCTTGGAAAATCGTTTCACAAATTTTTTTCAATTTTTAAACGTAAACATTAATAAGAACTGATTTAGTATGAGAAATCTTAAAGTACAGGGCAAGTTTGTTTTAATTGTTTATATATGACTTTGTATTGTTTAATAATTGTTTATAAATGACTTTGTAACTTTGTTCTTGTTGTTCAAATCTTTTCTATGCATTGTATGCGAATGTTTCTTAATTAAATTAACTTTTGTAGAAGTTCATGATAAAAAGGAAAGCAAATTATTTTCATTAGCGTCCTGTACGAATTAAATTTATTTCATTTCAAAGTGAGAGTAATAAGTTGAAACTCGAGTTGAAGAGTTTAATTTATAGTATCGGCAAAAAGCATTTAAATTAAATGCAATTCACATTTAAAAACGTTTTACGTAGAGTTTCGTTTTGAATTTTACATTAAAATAAAGCCCATAGAAAACAAAATAATTTACCTACTTTATATATTTTAGAAATTGATAGTTCTGTGTTTAAAAGTGTTCAAGTTTCATCTATTTTTGCAGGTTTGTGCAAAAAATTAAAAAAATTATCGTGTTGCCATGACTAACATGACGTGCAACGCGAGCCTGCGTTCAGTGTTGGCGTACTTACGAATACTTCATGTTGAGACAATGCTTGGAAAATATAGGCGAGGGGTACGTTGTTGCATGCATCTATTTCTAGTAATATCTATACTGGGATATAGCTTTTGCCTAAAACTCACTATCGCATGCAACCTGCTTACAATTTGAGTTGCACTGGCGTAATTCTTTTGGGCGCCGCCTGACTTGCGTCAGGAGCCCAAATCAATTAGCCGCCCCTGAACAAGAATGACAAAGTGGCAAAGTTGATGTATTTCAGTAAATTTTTCATCCTTTTGATGTAGCCCCCCCCCAGTTTTAGGCAAAAGTTATGTAGTGTAAATCGGCCGTAAGGGAATCCTACCCGGGAAATTTTTGTATATTTAAAGTTTAGGACTTTATGCATTTTCCACGTGTATACAATACAATACAATACAATAAAATTTATTTATCCACGGTGGAATCTTCAGTATATATATATATATATATATATATATATATATATATATATATATATATATATATATATATATATATATATATATATATATATATATATATATATATATATATATATATATATATATATATATATATATATATATATATATATAATATAATATATAATATATAATATATAATATATAATATATAATATATATATAATATATAATATATATATAATATATATTATATATATATATATATATATATATATATATTATATATATATATATATATATATATATATATATATATATATATATATATATAAAAATATTAATAATAAAAATATATAATAAAATAAGTTAAGCATGCAAAATAAATAAAAGAATATGATCTACTGGTTTACAAGATTGCCGTGTGGGAGTTCATCTAAACTATTATAATACTTGTTTACAGCTTTCCGGAACTGAGCAAACGATTGGAGCATTCTTATATTTTCGGGAAGGCTATTCCACAGTACTACTCCACTGTATTGAAAGCTTCGCTTCAGATAATTAGTTCGTGGCTTGGGCAGATTTAATTTCATTTCAAAGTTCCTAAGATTATATTCTGAGCCACGAACTGAAAAAAGATTGTGTAGATAGGTAGGTGTGTCACCTTTGAGTGTTTTGAACATCAAGCCAGCTTTAAGTTTTTTGCGTCTCAACGATGAGTTATCCAAGTGTAAAGTATCAAGAAGCACAGTAGCATTAGTGTCATAGCTGGACCTCGTAATGGCCCTGACCGCCCGGTTCTGTAATTTTTGTAGTTTAGAACTTAGCGTTTCGCCAAGACCATCCCAGACCGAGCAGCAGTAGTCAAAATGAGGTTGAATCAGTGCTTGGTATAGTACTTGGATAGCCGTGTTAGTTGAAATGCAGGATCTTATACGTTTTAAAGCCCCTATGGCTGAAGCAATTTTTTTACATCGTTTATCAGTATGCTCAGACCACATAAGGTGATTATCAAGATGGACACCCAGAGATTTTAATAATAATAATAATAATAATAATAATTTAATAGCATTTCCACATAGTGGCTCTTCTATGCTACAAGTGAGTTTGATTATAAGATAACAAAGTATACAATACATACAACGGAGTACATAATACGACACAACAAGTATTACAATACGTAGTATGTTGTACATTACAGTATTTAACTATTGACATTACTTATACACAGTAAAATACAGTATAGTTATACACACAATGTCAACAGAGTTTACGACGTGTCACTAATTCTGTATTTGACTAATGTTTTGAAGTACTCGGAGGAGGTTCTGCAATAATCTTTAAACGTATCGCAGTTTCGAATTTCTTCAGGTAAAGAGTTGAACACTCGAGCTGCTTCATCTTGGAAGGTTCCAGAGATAATAGGGACTACTAGACGCCGGGCAGATGATGATCGTAATGGTCTTATAGGAATATATTCCTCTAATTTTAAGTATGAAGGCCAGTCATCACAATTCATTGCTTTGTATGCTAATTTGGCAACATGATAATTCCTACGTTCCAAAATTGGAAGCCAACCGAGAGACATGACATCAGTGAATCTAGCGTATCTATTAAATACAAAGCCGCACATTTAGTTCTTTTAAGTTCAATTCCATTAGCATGAAGATGAACAGAACGATCTTCATCAAGTTGGTGCACACGAGAGAGTTGACTAGTCGAGAAAAGCATGACTTTTGTCTTATTGGGGTTAAGAACAAGGTTATTAGAACTAGACCAGGTGGAAAGTTGATCTAGATTGGATTGAATTTTCTCTTCACATGACTTTATGTCAGCTGGCTTACAATGTGCATAGATGGTAGTGTCATCAGCATACTGATGTGAAGATATAGAGTCGTCAAGGTTTTCAGAGAGATCATTGACATATAGGTTGAAGAGCACAGGACCAAGTATAGACCCTTGTGGAACTCCAAAACAAACGTTAGTTGTGTTTGACACTGCGTCGTCTATTTGAACAAACTGTCGTCGACCAGTCAGATAGCTTGTGACCCATTTGAGATACTCTTTGGAGAAACCTTGTGAATGGAGTTTTCTTAAGATGGTAGAATACGACACAGTATCGAACTCTTTCGAGAAATCTGCGAGAACAGCTATTGTGACTTCACCTCTTTTCATAGCTCGCTGAATATCATCTCGCATTGCCAACATAACTGTCGTAGTGTTGTGACCTTTGCGGTAAGCACTAATGGATTGATTAAGTATTCCAGTGGTTGTATTGGTTACGAAATCAGACATTTGGCGGAGAACGAGTCGTTCAAAGATTTTGGTTAGGCTTGGCAGAATGGAAATAGGACGGAGATCGTTATTCGATGATATGTTCTGAACTTTTGGAATGGCGCAGATACGAGCGATCTTCCAAGGTGAGGGGAATAGCTGCTTCGATATGCAGTTATTGATAATATGTGTCAGAGGTGAAGCAAGCTGCTCGAAGTAACTTGGTTTACCATATTACCGTTTATCTCAATATCTATTTCATTATTTAGTGTTTTTATTCTTTGTCTAGATCCAACTACCATGAATTCTGTTTTTACAATATTTAAGCTTAGTTTATTAGTGGTTAGCCAATCACTTAGACCTTTCAATTCGATGTTAATGACATTTTGGAGCTCTTTGGCTGAGTCGGACGCATAACTAATACTTGTATCATCTGCGAACATTCTTGCAGTTGTATGATTAAGACAGCCATGTAAGTTGCAGTTGTATGAGTAAGGCAGCCAATTAAGTATGCCATGAATTTGTCTAACTCATTTGTTTTAAGTTTCTAACATGACTTTCAAGTAACATCGTGTCATGTCTTCATTTGAAAACATTCAGAATGCGACTACATTCCTATAGCTATTGCTGCTACAATGTCAAACTATTATTAGCTAGTTTCGGCATTATTTCTGGCGAACCAATCAGACTTCGCTATTCCCGAATCCCGAAGATGTTGACTTCACGATGTTAGGAATGTGATCCCATTCCTGAATGTTTTGACGCGAAAATATGACTCTTTTTATTCGGCCGAGAGCACAGAATAAAGATCAGTAACAGAAGGGCCACTCAGCGGTGCAACGTGTCCTCGTTTTTTATGCAAAAATATGCAGTTTACTGGCCAGAAGGCGGAGCAGCCAGCCCGTACAGCGTGTTTATTGGCCAGAAATGTCGTTGACTGGCTAGGAAAATGGCGGCCAACAAGCGTAATGCGACATGCGCGAGGACAGAAACGTCAAAGGTTCCGACGTAAGTGGCCCTTCTGTATTGATCTTTATTCTGTGCCGAGAGGAAGCATACACGGTTTTGGTAACAGGAATAAGCTGGCAGAACATGTTGTCTCAGTCAAAGCTGTCAATATTAGGGCGAGGCCTGTCTTAGGGAGTGGTCATAATTAAGGGGGGGGGGAGGGAGAGGCAAACAAAATGTTACTTTCACAGAGAGAGGGGGGGGGGGTTGTTAAATTTTCTTATTTGAACGGAGAGCGAGCTCGAAAATTTCACACAGACATCTCTATGTTTCTGGACGCCCCTGATGATTAGTGATTAGCGGTTCAGTTTCTGCCAACAAAGTCATTACAAGTCCAATGGGGAACTAAGTAAGTGGCGAAGCTAGCCATAGCAATAGGTCATGCCATGCAAATTTTTAATGATTTGCATTATTCAAATTATAGTCAACCGTAGCCTGCGTGTCAGGCTCTAATTTTGAAATAGAGCCTATTACTGAAGTCAATAAAAAGTGGACAGCGATTTGGATGCACGAAAATAATAACCAATCAAAACGGCGATTGTTAATTAGATTATCAAAGTTAATTTAAAATATGACAATAAAGGCCAATTTTCCGCCGATATCTGGAATATAAATATTCCAATTTTCATTAAACGGCCAGGAATTACATACTAAATAATAATAATAACTTACTGACCGAGAGTGAGGGCAGTACGGGAAAATATCCAACCGAGGTCTTGCTGTATTGACCGAGCGATAGCGAGGTCAATACAGCAAGACCGAGGTTGGATATTTTCCCATACTGCCCGAACGGTTGAGGTCAGTAAGTTTTTTATTATATGGCATTGTACGTTTGTAAAAAATGGGTAAAAAAGGTCACGCGAGGGCAAAGTACAAAGTCCGAAACATTTGCAAAAAAGAACAATTGTAAAAAATGTTCTCAAGCTTGGTTAGTAAAACTACTCTACAGCAATTTTTATATAGAATACTAACACAGTTGGATAGTATTTCAAGAAAAATACGAGGTATTTCGTCATTTAATCAAAGACAAAGACAACGAATATGAAAACAATAAAATTAATAAACAGTATGGACAAGTACGGTTTTAGTTCGCTTCATCTCACAAATATATCTCTTTTTATCGAAAACCCCCAGAAATTTTCAGGGAAAAATATAAATCTGTGGCTGCTTTAGTTGTATTTTTTATTTAGGATGGTGTCAAATTCCTCGGCTATCTACAAATAAGATTTGCAGCTCTTCACAAAGTCAAACACAGCTATTCCTGACTTCTTTAATAGTTATAAACATTGTAAAATTTACCTTGTAATTTCGACTTTCGCTAACAAAAACATATTGAGAAAGTTCTTTATCCAAAGAAGGTGCTCCTTTTCTTTAGTTTAGGTTTATTTTTCTTCGTTTTGAATAGTTTTGAAAGACTTTTAGACACTTTTTGCCGTTTGAAACTCGGCTCTTGTCGCGGGGCAAAAAATTGCGTATTGCCCGTGGGCAATACGGGAAAATCCTGCCTCGTCAGCAGCCAATCAAATTGCGCGATTCATCAAAACAAATGCTTGCCGTATAATAATAACGGTTATTGCATGGCCGTGTCTATAGACAGCAAAGGCAGTAATTAATGCGGTCAAAAGCACAATTACAAGTACGGAATATCATATTACGTAAACAACAACTGATATTACCTTAAAAGGCAAGGTTATTTATTTCTGACCAATGGCATTTTTGCGTACGATTCGTACGTTTATTGATTTCAGTAGCAGGCTCTATTTCAAGCATAGCACATGACACGCAGGCTAAGTCAACCGTGATACTTTGCGCGGTAAAATGTTTCCATGGTTGTCTTGTATTCCGCTATTTTATTAGCCACTTTAGTGACAAAAGATGGCATCGGAGGCGTAATAGCGTATCCTTATCAATCTGCATTATTCTTGGACGATGTCATATTTTTCATAGTTGGAATATGTTTCTATTTATATATTATTACTCAATATAGCGGTATATATTATTACTCAATATAAGGCGTATACGGGGTAACATTACGTCACATTGTGCGAATGTGATTTATCTATCCTATGTAAGACCCATTCTGGAATATTGCAACATTGTTTGGGATAGTTGTGGTGTTTGTAACAGCACCTGTTTAGAAAAACTTCAAAGACGCGCAGCTAGGATTACAATGAACATTAGTGATAGTGACGAAGCTATGGACAAACTGTTACAATGTGACAATACAAGTGTTACAATGGCCTAATGTATTGTAGATGAAAAATGGGCATAATATATCGTTTTCGAATCTCCCTGGGAAGTTTTTGCCCCTTTCTGACATTAATGACCTCCCTGAATTTCAATTTGTCCAACCAGCTGGTGTACTTGTGGTAGACTGTTCTACGGGCTGCTTGAGGATGATAAGTGAAGTTCCTCTTCTAGTCAGATTTTTGAGCAGCCATCATGAGTTTTCTGTCACATTTTGCTTGCACCTGAAAAAGCAGATACCAACGGCAACGCCCTTCACAATCGACGCAGCAATCACCGGAATCGAAGAGGTATATGACTTCGATTGTCAATGCATACATAGAACAAGTCAAAGCCTTCCTTAGGACAAATGCCCAGAGCCAAGGTCCGCAAGGAAACGTTTCTTCAGTCGTTGTGGAAGACGAAACAAGAATCTTTGAGAGAAATCCGAGGTCTGCTTCAAAACTATGATCCACAGCTTTTGAAGTTGTTCAAACTTAAAGCCTTTTGACGCTGCTAGTCGAGAATTTTTTTATCCGAGATGAGGGCAGGGCATGTGATATGCCAATGCAGTTGCAGTTCGACTTTCACTTCAGTCGAGCAATGAAGGAGCACTTGAATACTTCAAGTCAAATCTGACTTGAAGTATTCAACTCTGCCGAAGATGGCCCCACCTCCAGCAGCACAGTTGACAAAGTCACATGTGCAGCAAATGAGAGACTGGCGCATGAAGTATAGTCAAAGTGTCCTACAGAATACCGTGCGGAACATGAGCACTAAAGACAATCCGGGTACTCTGCCGATAAATCTCTATGCCCAGGCACAGCCAGCTAGCGAGCCTTTGGAATTCTCGAAAATTACAGAAAATGGTACCCAAATAGACACACACCATGCCAACACGCACAACCTTCTTCATTCCACTGGAGACGTTGTTTTTCTTGCCTCGTACGCCAATTCCGGGCGGATGATGATCTACCAACTACAAGAAAACGTTAGTGTTTCAACAAAGAAAGCAAGAGCCACCATTTTTGAAGGTGACCCTTTCAATCCACTTATATTTACAGAAGAAGGAGTTGTCAAGGTCAATGCGAAAGAAATACCTGGTTCTCCAGTGGAAACCGTTTGCAGGAGATAGCAACCTTGAACTGACAGAGTATGAGTTTCTAAGATAGCAGTCGAGTATGATTGAATGTTTTGATGCTGTGACGATTGAAGAGGCGAGAGAAATTAGAGAGCGCCAGGATATTGACCATGAAAGTGCACCAGATACGAAGCCAAGACGTGCAAGAAAGACACCACATAGGCTACTGACGATTTTGTATATTATGATTAGTAAAGGTGATACTTTAGTACTTTAATCGTTGGAACAATTGAAGATTATAAATGCAATGCTGTTCATTAGATCTATTTTTTGTTATGTAATAGTAATACTGTCAATACTTTCACGAAGTCAAATAACTATTAAACATTATAGTCTTCTTCAGTATTGTATTTTTCAAATCAGCAACATCTGCAGGCTTGTGATTGTATTTTTCTGTTTAATTTTGTTAAAGTGAGCGTATGTATTAATATAATGGATGATAGCGAGGATAAACTGTCATATTTTCTGAATAACGAAACAAAATTTAATTTATAATGGGGAACAAGGGAGCATGGTTAAATAGATTTATGCTTCTTTTGAAAAAAATATGTGAGTATGCAAGATTAAAATCGTCCTATTTTGTTCCCCATGTATTGTTTAATGAGTCTAGTAAAAAGGTTTTTCATTGACAAGGTTGTTTTTCTTGTATTTCGCTAAATTTTGAACGTGTTGATTTTTGACAAATACTGTCGGTCGCCATAACAAATCAACAAAACTGCAAGCATTGTTAATAACCACTTCAATACCGCTAGTATTCTTCACCAAAACAAACATTTTAGAACAAACTGAACTGAAATTATATTAACAACTGTTTAAAATCAGGAAAACTTGGAAAGATAGAAGAGTAAAAGCACTTAAAAGCAGTAAAAACTCCATCAATTTTAGTTGCTCTGTCACAACAGTACGAAAAAGTAGGACTAGTAAAAAAACGCTTTCCAGCATGAAAACTATCGTAAACAGTATTAAATTTTACCAATATAAGCACTGATGCCATATTTATACTAAACAGTTGACAAACGTGATTGAATAGGCTACAAACTAAAGCATTTAGCTCGTAAACAATAGCTACAGCTATTGTATTTATTCCAAATGATGCGACAAAGTTCACTTTTCAAAATACTGAAATATACGTCTTTTTCTAAAAAAAAAACTTATTGAATATTCATACTAATTCATCAGGAAACACTTGGCCAGTATTATATAGCCTTTTCTTGCACGTAACTTGACAACTGATTGAAAACAATACAGGAATGAGCAGGTAAGAAAACAAAAATTTGCTTCGAAAAAAAGACAAACAAGCCGTCCCAGATTAAAACCCGGGAGTGAACGCGAGGTGCATACGTCATTTTCACGTCGTCTTTGAGGTCGCGTCGTCTTTTCTAAATCTGTTTAGTATTTCGATGACGGCTACGCCAAAATCATACAGGAAAAACCAAGAGGTCGGGCTTATATGTAGTCTCTATCCTGTGATCAAAGCATGCATGAGTACTCGTCACAGCAGTTTAATTTTACATTTGCAGTCCTACAGAGACATCCCTTTGATTTCGTAGTTGCTTTTCTGCTACATGTGTTTGTGCAATCACAGACTTGAAAAAGCAATATTTTAGAGGATTTAGCTTGTTATAAACTTTGCAGTATATATATATATATATATATGTTTCGGCTTTACTTACTATCTGTTTCGGCTTTACTTACTATTTTATCGGAAAAGACAGATTCTTCTCCCGACGGGTTTGGCAATAGGCTTCAATCAAATCTTTCTGTCTGAGATCCACAGAAATTTTCTTCATATTCCATATCGCTGCTTCCATTCCGAGAAATTTCCAGTTCCGGCCGACTTACATTCATTGCAATCGTTAGAAAAGGAATGTAACATCTAAGTACTTTGCTCCATTTTGCACAGTACTGTATAATGAGGTAGGTAATCTTCGAGTTAAGCAATGCCACTACATAACCCGCGAACAGGCATACTCTGGGAACGAGATTGCGAGTTAAGCTCTTTTCAAGTTAAGCCCCGACCACGCCCAAACCACACCCATTTTCGTCAAGGGCTTAACTCGAAGAAAGAAACACAACTTGGAAAGTTCTAGTTAACCCGTGAAAAAGAGGAGCTTAACTCGAAGTCATTGTAAATATTCGACGCTCGAGTTAAGCTCCAACATTTGAGGCATGTAAAAAGCAATGATTTGAGTCGTCCACAATCTAGCTGGAAATAGTTATCATACGTCTCGGCTTAAAATTGCCTTAAAGAAGCTGTAGCCTAATTGTGTCACGAGCAACTCGTATAAACAGTCAAGTTTCATTAAGTAACAGATTAGACTTAGATTAGATTACGAATAAATCGACCTCGTGGCTTTATTTCGCTTATTACTATAAAACCCAGTCCAAAATATTCTGTTACTTAATGAAAATTGACTGCTTATACGAGTTGTTCGTGACTCATTTAGGCTGCAGCTTATTTAAGCCGAGACGTATGAAAACTATTTCCAGCTAGATTGTGGACGACTCGTACACTATAGTGGATCGATACTATATGACAATGAAAGAGAGACTTGGAGCAAGTCTACTCAAATCATTGCTTTTAACTCGAGCGTCGAATATTTTCAATGACTTCGCGTTAAGCTCCTCTTTTTTCACGAGGCTTAACCAAGGGAGCACAGCAGTATTTTTTCGAGACTTGCGTACCGGTATGTCTGTAAAATCTGTAAATCGGTAGTCTTCATCTCCTTTGGTTTGCTAACGGCATATAAACACTAAAACACTGTTTTGAAATACTTTTAAATACCATAATTTTCGTATAAATATTTTCGCCCTTCGACGCGACTGCTTTGCAGGCTATTTTCACATGGTTGTCCGCTGTACATTGTATCGCATGTAACGGTTTTGTAAATACGCGCGAATATTACAATAAGAAATAGAGGGGAGTGAAACTGTGGGCACATCCGGTAAAATCTTTCGACAGACGCTGTAGCAAATTGCTAGGCACAGTAACTGTTGCTAGGCACAGGCCACTGCTATACCAAAAACTGATTTGTTCACAATTCGTAAACTTTTCAACTCTGATTCCTTTTTAAATGTATTATATGTTGCTTCTACTTCGAGAATATTGCCCACAGCATGTTGGTCAGAAAATGTCATTGACTGGCTAGGAAAATGGCGGCCAACATACGTAATGCGACATGCGTGAGGACAGAAACTTCAAAGCTTCCGACGTAAGTGGCCCTTCTATATGGATCTTTATTCTATGCTACAAACCTTGGAGAAAGCGGTTCTCAAATCCCCAAATGCTATTGGTTAATATTGATCACGTGCCCACAGTTTCACTCCCCTTTATTTCTTATTGTAATTTTCGCGCGTATTTACAAAACCGTTACATGCGATACAATGTACAGCGGACAACCATGTGAAAATAGCCTGCAAAACAGGCGCGTCGAAGGGCGAAAATATTTAAACGAAATGTCGAAAATATTAATACGAAAGGTATGGGATTTAAAAGTATTTCAAAACAGTGTTTTAGTGTTTATATGCAAATTAGCAAACCAAAGGAGGCAAATACTACCTATAGTCACAAATTTTACAGACATATAACAGGTACGCAAGTCTCGAAAAGAATACTGCTGTGCTCCCTTGGCTTAACTGGAATTTTCCTAGTTGTGTTTCTTTCTTTAAAGTCCTGGACAAACTAGGAAGCATTGTTGCGGAAAAATGTTTCGTGCCAATGATTCGCCATGTTTCCCAGAGTGGGCAAACAAACACTAGGATAAATTAGTGAGAAACATGGGGAAACATCAAATGTTTCTGAATTCGCTAGGAAACATTTCGGTTTCTCGGGAAGCAAATTTTAATTTGTTTCCGCAACAATGTTTCCACGGGTGGGCAAACAGGGATCCGGAAACACTTGATGAAACATCAAGAATCATAACTGCCTCTATGCAGTTTAATTTATTATCATGGCTACAGTCTCTTCGCCACTGAACCAAGTCAACAGCAAAATGTAAATTGATTTTCAAAACAGTCTATGTATCCACGATAAAAATATTTAACTTTATGAATGAGCACAGACAGAACCTAATAATAATCAAAGGCCGTTGAGGCCGACTCAGGGATGAGATACTTAGTTCTTGGAGTTATCAAAGACATGAACTTTAATGCGTCAAAGTGCAAAGTTCTGTCCATTGCACGCAAGGCCAATCCATTGCATTTTCAGTACCATATGGATTCTACCAAGTTACGTCGAGTAAACGAAGAAAAAGATCTCGGGTTGATCATTACTGAGAATTTGTCATGCGAATCACATCTTACCTGCATTTGTGCGAAGGCTAACAAGTTTAACTTACTCGGTCTATTAAAACGAACATGTATTTCAATTATTGACAGTAGTGTTCGAAAGACTCTCTATTTGACGTTGGTTAGGTCCAAGTTAAGTTATGCGACTGACGTTTGGTCTCCAGCAAGTTCCTTACTGAAACAAAAGGCTGAGAAGATTCAGAGACGTGCTAGACAAGGCAATTTAAACATTTCAATGAAGTCCGATTTCAAGATGATTTAAAGCAAGCACTAAACACACACTTCCATTATTTATATACAGACCCAAATTTAGCTTGGCAAATATGGAAAGAAGTATTTTTAAATATTTCCGAAAAACACGCGCCAATTAGACGTAAAAAGGTCAAAAGTGAGTATAAACCTTGGCTAACAAACGAAATTAAAGAATTGTGCTACCGTAGGGATTACCTAAAAAAGAAAGCAATTAATCTGAATTTCCCTTATTATCACGAAGCATACAAGAGATGCAAAAACAAAGTTACTAGACTGATAGAGAAAACTAAAACTAATTACTACAATACTAAATTTGCAAACTCTAAAAATAGTGCTGACAGCTGGAAAACAATTAACGAATTATTAAACAAAAAGTCCAAAACAACGACTCTCAATGCGATATCTGTGAATAATGAGGTTGTTACAGGAGATAAAAACATTGCTAATGAATTCAACAAATATTTTGCTACTATTGGACAAACTTAGCTGAAAACATCTGTACAACTGACGTTGACCCGTTGAAATACGTGACAGTAGGGACAGCTGATTTTAACTTCAAAAGTATTACAAAAGCAAATGTGAAAAGTGTATTAAAGAAATCGAAAGCTACCAAAGCAACAGGCACTGATAATATTTCAATTAAGCTTCTAAAATTAGCATGTGACTCCATCACAGAACCATTAACATTCATTTTTAATTTGTCTTTATCTACTGGTATTTTCCCTGATGACATGAAATTTGCAAAAGTTACGCCAATCTTTAAAACCGGAAGTAAACTAGATTGCGGAAATTACAGACCAATCTCAGTTCTTTCGGCAGTTCCCAAGATATTCGAAAAGATTGTTTATGAACAACTCACGAAATTCCTAGACGACAATAACATTATTTCTAAACACCAGTCTGGCTTTCGGCCACAGCATTCAACCGAAACGACACTGCTTCAGTCAACTGACGAATGGCTTTTTAATATGGATAAGGGCTTAATGAATGGAGTTTTGTTTCTGGATTTAAAAAAGGCCTTCGACACAGTTGACCATAAAATTCTTCTTTTAAAACTTAAACGCTATGGAGTAGGTGGGATTGCATTCCAATGGTTTCAATCCTATCTTCAACAGCGACAACAAATCTGTAAAATTGCAGGCTCTTCATCTAATACCCAAACGCTACATTGTGGTGTCCCTCAAGGATTAAATCTTGGACCATTACTGTTCTTAATTTATATCAATGACCTACCCAATTGCCTCGAAACAACGCATGTCTCGATGTTTGCGGATGACACAAACTTGGCATGTGAAGGTGTTTCATCAGAACAAATTGAGCAAAAACTAAATAACGATCTTAATAATGTTCAAACGTGGCTAACATGCAACAAACTTACACTAAACAAAGAGAAAACTGAATACATGATTATTGGATCACGCCAGAAATTAAATAACCTATCTCGTAATCCGAACATAGTCATTGGAAACCATAGTGTGGAACGAGTTCAGGACAAAAAAGTCTTGGGTGTAAAAATTGATAAAGAATTGAAATGGAAAGATCATATCGATGCACAATGTAAGAAATTTTCTAAAAATATAGCCCTCCTAAGGAGGGCGAAAAACTTTACAACAGAACAAACACTTTTGACAATGTATAACGCGCTAATTTTACCCCATTTAACTTATTGTTCCAATGTATGGCATGATGGAAATAATACAAATATGAACAAGCTTGTTAAACTGCAAAAAGAGCAGCTCGTGTGATAACAGGTTCTAATTATGAGATACGTTCCTCTGACATTTTTAAGAAACTTAATTGGGAACCACTAGAAACCACTCTGAAAAAACGCGAACTTGTGATGACTTTTAAAGCGATCAGAAGTTTCGCACCAGAGTATTTATCTAACCTTTTCACCGCTACTTTCAACAATGATTATAGCCTTCGAAGTAATAACAGAAATCTCTGTTTAAAAAAACCTAAGACGAATTTTATGAAAAATAGTTTCTCTTATCGTGGATCATCATCATGGAATAAACTACCTATGCAAATAAGGGATAACTACAATCAACTCTCTATTGACTCATTCAAAAGTACTATTAATGGATATTTCAAGTCATAGATTGTCGAGTGTTTGCATGATTTATGTCACTATTATAGATATATATGATTTAAAACAATTATTGCATGCTATTTTGTTATTACGATATTAATTAGTTTTTAGTCTGTAGATAGTATACTTTTGTAAATAGATGCACGGCCCTTTGAAAACCAGGAAACTGATAGGTTACCGTGTTTAAATAAATTTAAATAATAATAATAATAATAATCGCGAGGTCAAAGACTTAGTTTTTTTTTTATAAGGCTGTGAACGGATATATCAACATTGATGTCTCAAATTTTGTTAACTTTGTCAATCATGGACGGACACGTAGAGCATTGAGATCCAAATGCTTAGAAACTCCGTTGTGTAAAACTTGTACGTACAGTTCGTCGTATTTTAATCGTGTTGTCAAATTATGGAACAGTGTTTGTGTCTCGATTGATCCTTCCAGTTTCACATCGCCATCGTCTTTCAAACTATACCTCAAGATGAGGTATAAGCATATTCTGGAAACAGTATTTGATCCGGACATGACTTGCACCTGGTCACTTAAACGTGATTGTGGTTGTCACAAATAATAAACTAACTTAACTAATCAAATTAATGTGCATGCATAATATTAATATTTATTAATAAAGTAAATATGTTATGCAGGGTGCCCCAAAGCTGTTGAGATGGCGTGTTGTTTGGGGATTGAATTGCCTTAGCACTCTGCTGAACCCATATAAGTGCATAAAAGCTTGACAAAAGTAAATTTTATGAATAAAGAAACTGTTTAGGAAGTTGCTTTAAATTCCAAAGAGCAGAAAATCGTGATCTTACAAAGATATATTAATTTCTTCAATACTCGTATTATATGCATCATGTCGATCATATTTTACGCATCTTTACGTTCAGTTTGGTGCTGAGGCGTTCGGATTCTAGAAGTGCTTTGTTTCAGTGGTTTTGGTTTTTTTGGGACACCCTGTACAGTATACTATGAATTAAAAGGTCTATGTTAGGAAGAGGAGGGGCGCCATGCAATGGACTTTACTTCCAGTTTGTGCCTTGTCTGTTTCAGTACAGCTCTTTTTTAATTGTATGTTAGATGAATATTTGTTGAATTAATTTATACTCAATAAAGTTTAACAAACAAACAAACAGATCAAATGAAAGTGACAGAAAGAATTAGAGCAGTTGTTTTTGGAAACGGGCGAATTTTGCCATTTGCCGTGCTTCGTTTGGCAAATCTAGCCTGCGTAGCAGGCGCTATTTAGGGGGAGGGCGAGGGTGGGAGAAGCTAGGGGAGGAATGCGAAGGCGAGAGAAAGAGATCGAGGAAACATGGGAGGGGCGAGAAATCCATTTTTCCTCGCTCTCTTTCTCTCGCCTTCGCATTCCCCCCCCCCCCTAACTTTTCCCATCCTCGCCTTCCCCCCTAAATAGCGCCTGCTAAGCAGGCTAGGCAAATCAAAAGAACGAACGCGTGCTCCAGCCCGATTTCCGGTTCTGAAAGGCCCGATTCGCAGGCAAACAGTGCGCGCAAAGCAGGCTGGTCATTTCCCATTGTGTAACTGCCCCACACTCAAGTAACCACAAAGACTCACATCCGTGAGTCAAAAACTATGAGACAAACCATTCAATAGAAAGGTTTCGTGCGATAATGACACTTAGATCATATGCTCAATTAGTTTCAGACCCCGTTTACACTAGAGCGAAAGATTTCGGATTCGCAACAGTTTCCGGATTTGATTGGAATTTGAGTTTTCGAATTTGTGGCGTTTACACAAAAGCGGTAACAAGAAAGTTATCGAATTCGTCCGTTTACACACAATCGGAATTTTCCCATTCTTGTTGTGCGTCTTTCAAGCAGAGGTCGAAGATCATCGCAGAGTTTTTCGAAGTTACAACGCGACATCCGAAAGTTATCTTTCCAATCGCTATCTAGACAAACACCGTTTAGCATATTGTCCCACCAAGAAGATGTTCTCCCTGGTTTTACCCAAAATCGTCGAGGTCTTCGGTTTTGCCACTTTCTTCGTTTTCGTACCAGTTTTGCAGAAATTAAAATAGCATTCTGCAATAACTTTCGCCTTCTTAAAAATATACCAGTGGCCATTACAAAATTTACAATACTTCCTTGTAATAAAATTAAACAACAAACCAAAGACAACAAAACAATAACGTTCGCCATGTTGGTTCTATGGTAAAGCCGCAAACTCGTATTTTCGCGGGCGAAAAAAGGTTGCGGATTAATTCAAATTTCCGTTTAGAACCATTTACACATAGAATTGTCTCGGATTAAAATGTTTCCGGATACAAAGTTTCTACTTTTTTTCCCGGATTCAAGGTTTTCGGATACGTCCTACAACCGAGATGATTTTCCACCGGATTCGTCGCTGTATGTGTAAACGCATGTACGAATCCGATGCGAAAACGTTTCGGTCTTGTGATGAATCCGGAATCTTTCGCTCTAGTGTAAACGGGATCTCAGTGAAAGTAAATATCTAGTGTAATAGAGTTCATAATAGGTGCAGAAGAGTTCTACGTTAACCAAGGGGCGGAGTAAAGGATTTGTCTTAAATCTTCATGGGGGGGGGGGGGGTAAATAAATGATCAAATAGTAATTTTTCCATTTTCCACACCCTCCCCCTTACCATAAATAATCCACTCCTTTATAAAAACCGGAAACCGAAAAAAACCCGAAAAAGTCGAGTGAACCGGTTTTAAAACACGCTCAAAAGTACAGCTAAGAATTTAAAACACGCTCAAAAATTTAAAAAAGGCTCAAAAATTTAAAACACGCTCAAAAGTACTCTAACAGCTAAAATAAACACGACAGTACACTCTTGGAAGACTTCAGTTTCGAAAACAGTTGCATTATTTGAATATAAACATTGCTCAGTATGAAGTACAAGCTATTTCCTCATGTAAATGCAAGAATTTGCTCCAAATTTGTATCAAATTCCGTGTGTAAGTATATGTTTCATTTTATTGAAATACATGTTTATAGTTTTTCGGTTCTCCAAAAACAACATGAGATCAGCCTAATCGCTTTTTCCGGTTTACCGATTAACCGTCCCCCCTAGCTATCAACTGTTTAATTAAGTTCATCGTCTTGTTTTATCCGTTTATATTCATCGGGCTGTTGACGTTGTAGCCATGATGCCTTCGGCGCCTCATTCGTCTTGGTATTCGATCTGGGTGGTTTCCATGTGAGAGGCCTCAGTCCGTTCAAGGATAACGACTAGGAGCCCAGCCAGGTCTGCAACCACTGCCATCCAGACTTGGACGTAACCCATCGCCGCGACCACAACGAAAACAAGCTTGAGTAAGATGGCCAGCACGATGTTCTCGATAATTAGACGACGGCAGAATCGACTTAGGCAAATCATTTCAGGCACTTTTAAGACGCTGTTGGTCATAATTGCCACCCCTGCTGCTTCGACTGCCAATGCGGACCCCCCTGCTGCCATAGCAATGCCCACGTCAGCCGTTGCCAAAGCTGGTCCATCGTTGACGCCATCACCAACCATACCAACCAAAGGAACTTTTTCCTAAAATGCAATCCTCAAACTAATTAATAATTTATTAGACTATAAGATAGCTAACCACTTTCTTGATACTTAACATGGAAAACTATCCTCACTTGTACGCTGTAAATGATAGCCGATAATTTTAATTATAAAACAATCCATTGTTTTTAAAACAATCCATTATTTCCCAGCATGTTATATATAATTTTAAAGCTTATTAATTAAAGATTTAAGTTCACTTGCTCTTCTATCATCAGAAGTTGCTTCCTCCGTCATCAGAAAGAGCTTACGTTGCGACAAGAAAACGTTTGTCCGGTTTACGGTGGTCTTCCACACCGAAAACATTTCTTTTTAAATTACAGCTTTAATTTGTCATCTATTTGAGACAAAAATGATAAATTATGCTCAGCTGACACAGGATCAGTAACTTTTACATTCGCCGTTAACTCTTTGACTAGGATAGGCCTTCCTATAGGGTAAAATATAGGGTTTGCGCCAAAAAGGATGTGAGCCAAATAAAATTACTGAGGACCTTAGAAACAGCTTTAATGGACACCTAATACATTGATGACCTTAATGCAAGAGGACCATTATATGAATTCCGTACTTCATTTAACAAATATAAAACATTTTCCGTGTTGATATATAGTTATATCAACACTCGTGGAAGTTGGGAGAACTCGAAATTGTGTGAAAACACTCCGCCCTTCGGGCGTCGTGTTTCCACCCAATTTCTCGTTTTCCCAATTTCCACTCGTGTTGATATAACTGTATATCAACACGGAAAATGTTTTATATTTGTTAAATGAAGAACGGAATTCATATAATGGTCCTCTTGCATTGATGCATAATGCTGACATATGAATTTGTTTTACCCTGAGGTGTAGAATTAGCTGGATTTCTCGGTTTAGGGTACATTTTTTGTCTTAAAGCAGACTGCATTTTTTCATTTTTCTAAATATGTCAAATATATTGGCAATTTTTTTGTGGCAGCCACCTTAAGACTACACAAATTCAAAGGTATTAATGCCACTGAACCGATAGAGAGATTATATATTTCATGGATTAAAATTGTTGATGCAAGAAGTCAAGAACCGAGACAAGGGTCCTAAAAATGTGTTGATTACAATCGAACCTTTAGGGATATCTCTCAGAAACACTTCCCAGAGAATATTCTGGACGCTAATTGTCGACCTCAGGGAGCAAGAAAGGTTTATAGCCTCTATGGGCACTCCGAGTATTCACTTACTTAGAGTTTCGTTCCAAAACCGAGATTCACAATGGTACATTGTATGATGCAGTAAAAATGCTGTGCTGAGTGGTTATATTACTACCTTAAAAAATAAGGACTAGTTGTTTTTTAAGGTAGTAATATAACCACTCAGCACAGCATTTTCACATTGGTAGTACCCACACTGGTACAGACAGTTTTAGTATTGATGCAGTCAAAGTATGGCACTGAAGTGTGGGGCGCTTCTTAATTACAGGTGAAAGGGCTTTCACTTACCTTTTCAAGGGGCAAATAATTTTGCCACAGAAATATATTTTATTATGTGTATAAGACTATTACAGATGTTGTCCAACCCCCCCCCCCCAAAAAAAAAATAAAACATCCTTCAGTGTGACTTGTACAACACGACTACTGGCACCGCAGCTACAATCCTATCTTAAAATAAATTTGTCCCCTCTACCTATTGAATTCTACATTTCAAAATCTTCTGGGTGGGCATACACCATGCTCCGCCAAGAAATATTCGCGTCAATGGCACAGGAATATCATACCTTTGGCTCTTGGGGGCTCTCGGAAACTTGTTTAATTTTTGGGCACTACCGTGACATCTCTATATAAAACGACATCCCTTAATAATACGAACACTTTGCTCTGTCCTACAGGGTCCGTGTTGAGAAATGTTTGACTGGATTATTTTCTTACGTACACATTGTATTAACTAACCCCTCTACAACAGCGGCGTTTCCTGAGCGTATGTTCCTCTTTAATATTCGTAATCCATTTCAGCTTATCATCCGGCTTCATCTCTGAGACACACGAGTCGAGTTTGAGTTGCTTTTGTACAGCGGTTGCCGTCTCCTTGGAGTCTCCGGTCAACATAGCCAGATGCACGCCTAAGTCTTGAAGCCATCTAAGAGCCAAATGAGACTCCTCGCGTATGATATCAGCCAATGAGATCATTAGTGCCAGTTCCTCGTCAACACAGACGAACACAACGGTTTTGCTTTCGGCGCAGAGTCGATCGTATTCAGTCTCAAATTCAGGGGTTAGCTTCACGTCCAATCTTTCCAACATTGCCGGGTTGCCAATATCGATAAAATGACCCTCGACAACTCCAGATATACCTTGGCCTTCCATCGTTTTGAAGTTGCTGACATCAGGCAGTTGGATCTCTTCGACATCATTCACGAAATCAGCAACGCACTCTCCCGTGAACTCGGTCACAACGGCTGCCGCTAACGGATGACTTGATTTGCTTTCCAAAGCGGCTGCCCAGCGCATCACATCATTCTCTTCATCTTTACTTACTGTCATAAGATCAACCACCTTAAGATAAACTGTACAAAATCAACGTTCTGAACCGACCACACTCAAAACTAAGTCATAGAAAAAAATAACCATTTTAAAATAGGCAACACTTTTTTCCTTCACGAGTTGAATGGTCTTGTGTTGAAAGGAGTAATGCAACTAATATTACTTAAGGTGGCTCTGATATAGTAATCCTCGCAAAACTTTATGCTATTCGAACAAACCCGCGTGACCATTCGTTTCCGCGGGAATATGAGCCTAACATCGATCACCTTTCGATCACCTAACATGGTCAGTTGCTCACGCCATCTTCAAACTTATGTTCAAATTTTGCACGCTGTATTTTATAAGTTATAAGTGTCTTTCGTTGTACCAAAAATTAAAAATTGACGGAAGTATTTCATTTTTAGTTATTAAAGAAAATGCCATTACAGAATTTTTTAATATTCTGGCTGTTGTTAGTAAAACGATGCATGAAAAAGTTGGTGCTCCTTTTTTAAGCACACGAAACAATAGAACGTTGGCACTTATTTCCCAGGGACCAACTGAATAAAAGCCATGGCGGCCATGTTGGTGTTCGAGACAAAAGAGTCTAAATAAAATTCTTTTAATTGAATTGGAACACCAACATGGCGGTTGTGAAGTCATGTGCAAACGATCTGTAGGCTATTTTAGAATGAATTTCGCACGCGTGTGTGACCGTAACAACGAATATGTGTTATCAAACCTATTAAAATATTTGAACATGCCAATATCTGCTCCATAAAACCCAAGAATATAAAGTTTAGAAATTTAATAGAGTTTGCGAGTTCACGGCAACCAGGTATAATATCATAATGTCGTTCGCTACTCTGCATGGTTTTTCATGATACTGTCAATGAACACAAAACCCATTCGATTTGCATTCATGACCCAACGTTTCGACACTCCAATCTAGTGTCTTCATCAGGAGTGATCTGAGGTCGCAACGTAGCTTCTTCATCGTAGCGTTCAGCTTTAGCAGACTAAGTGGGTGACGCCAAACACGTGATTGCGTTGGAAAACTGTCGAGTCATTAGACTAATTATCAATAGCAATCGCTATGGACAAAGACGTTGCCCAGAAGCACTATGCTGGAGTGTCGAAACGTTGGGTCGCGAATGCAATTTGACTGGGTATTGTATTCATTTACTAAAACCAGAGTAGCGAGCGGAAACTTCGAAATTGCGAAGTTGGGAACAGAATTAGGAATATTTTATATAGAGAAAGTAAGAAATAATATTAAATATTCATATTGCATAAATTTGCCGCCAAACACACAAATTCAATATCTCACCTGAAATTTTCCTTCGGTCAAAGTCCCTGTTTTATCAAATGCGAGAAACTCGATTTGGGAGAGAGCTTCGAGAAAAGTGCCTCCTTTTATTAGTGTCCCAAGGCGTGCCGCACCGCTTATTCTACAGATAACTACCACAGGCGTGGCCATCAGGAGAGCGCATGGACAAGCGGTGACCAACACGATGAGCGCTCGTTCTCCCCAAGTCTTGATACTCCCCCCATACACACCAGAGAGATGTAAAATCAAGGGTATCAGGAAGACTATGGCGGCGAGTAGCACGACCAAGGGGGTATAATAGCTCGCAAATTTATTCATCATTATTTTAGTTGGCGAGACATTCATCTGCGCGTCTTGCACCATCGCTGCAATTTTTGAAATCGTTGATGACGTTGATGAAGAGGTTGTCTCCAGTTCAAGGTAGCCATGTTGGATAACAGTACCGCTGTATGCTTGGGACTTCAGAGTTTTCTCCACGGGCGCAGCTTCGCCTGAAATTGAGCTCTCGTCTACAGATGCGCTACCTTTCACCACTACTCCATCCAATGGAATCAGTTCACCTTGACGCACTGCTATTATAGAACCTAAACAAAAACGAGGAAAACGTTGTGTGGTTAGAAAGCTGTGATTAAATAACTGTTTTTTTCTAAGCACTATCATGTAGCAGATAATGGTCAACCCGCGGATCAAGTTTACCTAGTTTTCTTTTATTACTTTCAACATTATTTACAGAAATTGATCCATTCTGGTGCCTATAGCGTAATCTTTTTGTGTAGGGCGACTAGACGTCCTCTGGGTACGCGAACGACTTTAATTGGCCTCTTTCTACTCCTTCGTTACGTTAACTAGTTGAAGGCCACAAATTGATCATGCATATTTGACAATGTTGACTTTGACGTTGTGGTTAAATGTAACGACTAATGGTTCAAATTCATAAACGATTTACTGTAGACTAGCGGGCAACATGGCATATGTGCCAAAACCTGAATCCGGGACGAAAGTCCTGAAAATGACCCCGCCCTGAAACGGCAGTGTCGACATAGCTCTAACTTCAGAAAACAAAAAGCGATAGCCTTTCTGAAGTGCTTATAGTGTTTAGAAGGGTTGCTTTTAGGGGTGGTCATTGGAAGGAAAAATTGTCTAAGTATAATATTATACCAGAAAATGCTATGCCCCACCCCAGGTAAATTGCTGATTATGCACAAAATAACTAATATGCCTGGCAGAAATTAAATTTTCTTATTTCCTAAAAAAAATTATCATGGGATGAAAAACTATGCTTAGATCAATATAATTATTGTGGATTTCATAAGGATTGTCATTGCTTTCTTTTAATATAATACATTTTATTTCACTTACCCCCTACCAAAACACGATTTCAGCCATAGGCCTACTTTGCCGTCTTATTTGCTTTTTATCGCCGAGTCTCGCAAATATAATCCAGTTGTTGTACTTTTACATAATCATAAAGGGCTAAAGAATATTTCAACCAAGTTTCATCAAGTTGTGAGACAGTACAGTGTACTTTATCTTCGATATTGTGTCCTTCGATATTTCGTCAAATTGCCGCCATTTTAATGGCTCGCCGCTTCTCTGTCTTCTCTTCTTCTCGCCGCTTCTCCGATCAAATGCCACTTCTTCGTTTTCATATGTATTTAGATTACAGTATCCAAGAGTACTTCATTGTAGAATAGTCCCAATCGAAAAATTGACAACATTTGTTCCATTTGGAAGGAAAAACCCTCCTGTATACAATTTAGGTTCAAAATAAAAAACAAATCATTTGAAAGTCACGCGCAATCTTCGCGAAAACTTCTCGTGGACACATGACAGGGGGTGTGAATATTTTCACGAAACGTTTGTTCGCCACCACAGAAACATAACTAAATATAGTGTATTTATTGTATTTTTATGATTTATGACAAAACTACGCAAATATTTATTGTTTTTATCATAATAATATAAATACAATATATTTAGTTATGTTTCTGTGGTGGCGAACAAACGTTTCGTGAAAATATTCACCCCCCTGTCATGTGTCCACGAGAAGTTTTCGCGAAGATTGCGCGTGACTTTCAAATGGTTTGTTTTTTATTTTGAACCTAAATGGTAGACAGGAGGGTTTTTCCTTCCAATGGGACAAATGTTGTCAATTTTTCGATTGGGACTATTGAAGTACTCTACTGAAGTACTCTTGGATACTGTAATCTAAATACATATGAAAACGAAGAAGTGGCATTTATCGGGCAGAGAAGCGGCGAGCCATTAAAATGGCGGCAATTTGACGAAATATCGAAGGACACAATGTCGAAGATAAAATACACTGCTCTGTCTCACAGCTTGATGAAACCTTCTTTGAAATCTTCTTCAGCCATTTATGATTATGTAAAAGTACAACAACTGGATGATATTTGCCAGATTCGGCGATAAAAAGCAAACAAGACGGCAAAATATGTGAAATCGTGTTTTCGTAGGGGGTAAGTGAAATAAAATGTATTATATTTAGAGAAAACAATGACAATCCTTATGAAATCAACAATATTTATATTAAATTAAGCATAGTTTTTTGCCCCATGATAATTTTTTTTAGGAAATAAGAATATTTAATTTCTGCCATGCATATTAGTTATTTTATGCATAATTAGCAATTTACCTGGGGTGGTGCATGGTCATTTTCTTGTAAAATATAAAACTTAGACAAATTTTTTCTTCCAATGACCACCCCTAAAAGCAACCCTTCTGAACACTATAAGCACTTCAGAAAGACTATCGCTTTTTGTTTTCTGAAGTTCGAGCTATGTCGACACTGCCGTATCAGGGCGGGAACTCCTCAATGAATGTCTCTTAATGAAACGTTTTTAAATATGGTTTAAAATAACTGGCACGTAGCGTTCCTCGCTAGTTCAATTCTGGATTATATATATCACTGGTTAAACTTGAGAAGCACTGGCTAAAAAAAATAAAATCTATCTTTTCTCTTTTATGTCTTGTTTGAAAGTCATTTTCTGGGTTTTTATATATATATTATCTTTAAATTGTACTTTTCGCTGATTGGTGTGTCAATTGTTACTGTTCCTAATGGATGATTCCAGCTACGGACTAAATTTTTATTTCGGCAAGAAGAACAAAATCCATCACCCCAGCTAGAAAAAGCATGTTAAAATTAGTAAACCTGCAAAGGTTGATGCGAGATGTTGTAATTATAAAATAAGGAAAATATAGCCCTACGAAATTTGCAAATTTTGTATTAATTTATGTTACGCACGGGAAAATGCACCACTTTCGGCCAAATGTGGTACATTTTCCCTATAATTATACAAATTAATACAAAATTTGCAAATTTCGCAGGGTTGTATATTTTCCGCATTTTACAACATTTCGTGGCCAAACTTTGCAATTTTACTAATTTTAACATGCTCTGATCTTTCTAGCTGTGGTGATAGATTTTGTTCTTCTTACCTAGATCAAAACGTAGTCTATAGCTGGAATTGCCTATTGGAAAAATGGTTAAACTCGGTAAAAGGGACTGAGTCTAATTTCCAACAATACTTACCAATGGAAACATCTTCAATGGGTACCAGTTTCCCTGTGCAGGCCATGACTGCTTTGGAAGGCTTAGCTAGCATGAGACTTGAGATAGTCTTGTGGACGCGATAGAAACAAAACTCCTGCAGAAAGTTCGCCAGAATAAAGATGAATACCACAGCTCCGCCTTCGATCCACTGCTGAATGGCCAGCGTGCCTATAACTGTCACAGTAATGAGAACATTCAGATCGATTTGCAGATGGTAGATTGCGTGATAGCACTTCTTTAACACCGGCAACATTCCGAAGCAAATTTGAACAACAGCAACCCACATGTACCAGGAGGCATAAGAGAACATAGCTGCTAGCGCGATGCTGAATAAGACAGCTTGTACAGCTAGGATTGCAAGGAGGATTTTAAGCTGTCTAGGAAATCCATGATCGACTTCTGCCTCCGCCCCTGCATCCACAATGGACGCCCCAAGATGGCGTTTTTTTAAGGCTTCCAGCATTTCTGGCGGTGTTACTTTGTCCTGGTCATGTGATATATATGCAACACGGCCTAGGATATTAACTCTTATGGTATTAATCCCCGGTAGCTTGCCTAATTCCTCCTGCACGATACGACCCTCCTTGGGACAGCAAATATTCTGCACTCGAAGCTTCGTTGTCTGCAGGGGTGCCTCGTGGATAATCACGCTATCATGGACTTTTACACTGTATTTCAACTCTTCGGCGCAATCTGACACGAATTCAGGATTCTCGTCGCGTTCTGTGTACGAATTGTCCAAACAGCAAAACATGTGGTCGCTCTCATTATCACCATGGTGGTATTCATGCTTATGGTAATGTTTATGGCCATGATGTGGTTCAACCACGCAATGGTTTTTTATTTTCTCAGCAAAAAAATATAGAGGGATTGTTTTGCTTCATTAGGTCGACTTTGGGCGTGGTTTTTTACATTATACGGAGGAAAATAAAACTTCTTCTCGTCTACGGATTTTGTAGAAGCGCGATTCCCATTTGTCTTTGCTTCATTGTGAGTGGGTATAGATAGGGATGCATGGGTTGGGTACATTCTAGCATGAGCTTGATGGTTTGGTGAGACATCATTTGGTTGGCGAGTTACCGGCTTGTCGTCGTTTGAATAAAGAGAATCAAAGTTCTCGACCCGCGTTATGTATTCGTCTTCGCTGATAAGCGGGACAGGCATTTTCCCTTAAACGTCTTACTATATAAAAGAAGAAACGGACAAGATTAGTGATGATGCCGGTATCATATGCGTGGCGGTGTCTGTAGAAAATACATGAAGTGTTTTCGACTAAAACATTTTCTTTAGGTAGTGCCACTGAACTTTATAACATTATTGGAGGAACTGCTCGGGGAAAAAAGTGTCGCCAAAAAACTAGGTCTGACCCTTTAAGTGACATTGTGCCTAACGTGTACGCATGCCCTTCCTTGTACCCATCAAGGTCCATCAAGAGAAAAATTCTGGCACTCAACGGATTGATATAAACTGGTTGGTTGACGCTGAACATTTTGTGGGTGCTGAAAATGTTGGTTGTGCACACACGCCCTGTCATGTATAAAAACGTAGCTTCACGTTAGATAGCCGCTGCTTCAAAAATCTTGCAAAAGCACCAGTTAAAAACCTAAATCAGTCAACAATTTAAAAAACATTAAAAAAACACAAACGAAGTATGCATCATGACAAAATGAAAGAAGTAATCCAACTATATCATATTCTCGCTCGTGTTAGGTATTCTGTTTATAAGTGTACTGTTTTCTTTGATGTACCAAGGTGATTATTCATTAGCTGAAGAGATGAAGGAAAACTCAGAAAATCGTCCTTCAAAGGAGACGAAACAGACAAAACTTTGTTGGAAAACCTCCTAAATCAAGAATTAAGGACGCTTTCAAGAGTTTTTTTGAAACATTAATTATGTGATCATTCCATGTCAGACATTCATCAGTGATGATACCAAGAGATGCTGTACTTTTAACTTGTTCTACATTTACATCATTCATAATAATTTGAATTTCATGTTTCTGTTTTTTCGTTAGAAGATCTAAATAAAATGAATTTTGTCTTTTGGATATTTAGAGATAATTTATTGACGTTTAACCATTCTGTAACTTTGTTAATTTCAGTTTGTAAGATTACATTAAGCGATTTAAGACAGCTGTTGCTATAAAATATATTAGTGTCGTCAGCAAATAATATGAATAAAAGTACTGTACTGCACTGTTCAATATCATTCATGTAAAGCAAAAATAGAATTGGTCCAAGAATTGATCCCTGTGGAACCCCACGTCTAATCACCATTTCATTTGACCTAACTTTATCATATTTTATTATTTGTTTTCTATTTTCCAAATAATCTTTAAACCATAGTTGTGTTATTCCCCGTATAGCATAGTGTTCCAGTTTTTGAATCAGAATCTTGTGATTAATAGTGTCAAAGGCCTTTGACAAGTCAAGAAAGATTCCTATAGTGTATTCACCTTTATCGATTGCTTTACTAACTTTGTCAACAAGTTCAATGACTGCATGCCCGGTGGATCTATTTCTCTAAAACCATACTGACTATGTGTTAATAATTTATTTTTTTTCAATGAACTTAATTATCTCTTATACATTAGTTTTTCTAGTAATTTAGAAAAACAAGAGAGTACAGAAATTGGTCGATAATTTTGGAATTCATTTTTTTTATTTGCTTTGTAAATTGGGGTAACTAGAGATATTTTTAGGCCATTAGGAATAGTCCCACTGTTTATATGGAAGCCGGGCTGGCCCGCGTAGAGAGACAGCCCTGTATCCATACAAAAAGGCCCTTACTCTCTAATTTACTTAGGTTAAACAAACATGAAAATTTCGATTGTTTCAATATGTTGTGCCTGGTTTTGGTATGATAGGTTTCTTAAATTGAGGTTTGTTTATTTTAAGTCATGTTTTTTTTATTTAAGTAATGTTTACATTTACATTTGAACATTCACAATAAAGCAAGTTCAAAATCATTCATGACCTTTGCACAGCCCGTGTTTAAACATACTTGCATATTTCTTACTTACATCTATACTTGCATATTTCAGTTCATTTTAACAAATTGGTAGTGAATTTTAAATCCCTCATTTTCGTTGCTTATCCTACACTTCAAACATCATCATTAATAATTCATAAGCTTATTGGCAAATTATGTCAATCATAATATGTCACGTGAAGAGGTTCATTAGTATTCTTTATAAACATAAATCCCTCCTTCTCGTTCTAGATCCTACACTTCAAACACTCAATCACATTCATAATTCAAAACATTATTGGCAAATCATGCCAACCATGATATCTCACGTGAAGAGGTTCATTAGTATTCTTTATATAGAGAATACAAATGAGACGGTACTGATCTATTGTAGTGGTGTTTGAAGCAATTCAAAACACTTGCAGTTGTGTTTTATTATATTCTAAAATGCTCGTGCTGCGCACTCGCATTTTAAATATGATAAAACACTCTTCCGCGTGTTTTTAATAGTACATGAAGATCATGTGTCGGAAAAATATTTTATTTTAAAAAATATTTTATCTCAAATATGCAATAAATATAAGTTGTTTATGAGTAACTGTCACGCGTGATCAAACGTGCCACGCAGGATCACCCGCTAGCTACATGCGTTTCGCGAGAAACAAATGCATCAAGGCATTTTCGTCTTTTTCAGCCGTAGCTGCCATGTCAGAATAATGTACGTTTTTAATATTTTATTCAACTGATCTTTGTGTAAAACTATGATTAACATGACTAGATAATGATTAAATTATAAGCAAACAAAATAATTTGTAGACAAATGAGTCTGATGACTATTTATATATTCTGCTATTTACGAAAAGATTATCTCTACTGGAAAATGTCAATAAAATGTTTATGGTCGGTCATATTTTTGACAGGTCGGTCGGAAACCTGAAACCAACTATTATTTTTATTTGGCCTGACGATGCATGCATTTTTATTTTACCACATATCATTCGCCAAAGTTCACCCGCTTAATTACATGGTCCCTTATACGCTTATCAATTTAAATTCATATAAGAGAATGCAACATAAGATAAATGGGCCAGTTGCGGAATTGCTAAGCATCATGGTAGTTTAGTTACACAGCAGAATTTTTCAACATGGCGCTTACACTTTTCGAACGAGGAAAGGTGCTAAACACATGAGAATTGCAAGAAAACTTTTATCATTTTCGCTTTGATTAAAGTTTTGACGAAATCTGTACGACTTGTTTCATATTTCTACTTCGTCTTGGACTTCTACGAGCGAGTGTGGTGAAATATTTAACATGGCGTACAAAGTCACTGAAGCGGGGAAGGAGTTCGATTCGTAGTAGTCAGGAACAAATTTTTGAATATTTCACAACATGAAGGTGAGTACTGCATTAAACTATTTTCGAAAGAACGAACACGTTGTAAACTATTATTTGCCTAAAAATTTTAATGATCGGTTTAATTCTAGCGACTCGAGAGACAAAAATGTTTGCACACTTGACCGTCCCAAAACAACAGATGTTTGATCAAACGTTCGTTTCACAACCACAAAACATTGAGGTTGTTTGGCGCGCAAAATCAAAACAGTTACTGTTTGAAATACCGAGATTTCACATTTCAAAGGTTTTCAAAGATTTATAAAGTACTTTAAGTACTATTCACTGCTGTTCAAGTGTCTTATTGGAGTTTTTAACTACAACATATTTACGTGAGTCAAATTTGAAGCAAACTCGCTTGTTTCGAGTATATTTTGGAAAGTTTCGAGCCGTTTGGTTTGCTGTTGGTTTTGATAAATATGGCAAGTGACACGAAAAAAGTGCCTAAAGGTAAAATGTACAGGGGAACGACCTGTTGTGTGCCACTTTGTCGAAGCGACAGCGTTAAAAATTCGGAATCATCCTTCCATAAATTTCCTGTGAGAAATATGGCTGAATTTTATATTGAGAATACAAAGTGAACCTTTTATAAAAAAGCCACAAAGTGTGTTCCTTACACTGAGAAATCTTTTAGTGCATTGCCAACTGTCGTTAAATATCATGTAGACAAACTGTAAACAGTAGCCAAGGCAGGGAACATATATTATTATAGACAGCTACTGTAGTGAGACTGAACAACCCAGCCTGAACAACAAACGACTGGCATTGATACACAAGAGTCAACCAATGAAAGATTAAAAACTGAACATGCAGCTTTACAAAGAAAATATTATGAGTTATCATCTAGCTAAATACGAACAGTGTGTATTGCGAATAGAACATGTTACATGTATTTGCCAGTGACACAAATTTTAAATTCTATACAGGATTTCAAAATTATGCAACATTTAAATTTTCTTTGACTTTCTGTAACCACCATGTAATTTCTTAACTTATGCTGGTTCGAGTAACAATGTAGAATACTTGGCAGAAAAAAAAAGCTGCGGCGAAAAAGATCAATGTCGCCTACTGTACGTCGTGGTCTTATACGGGAACCTTGACATATTGCTCTCCGAATTGGCATGTTTCTCGTATATGGGCTACTTGGTCAGAGTTTCTCTATCATTACCATCTGGGCATCACAAGATTATATACAACAAACTATGCCACAGCCTTTCAAAAAAACCTACCCAAATACCTGTGTAATTATTGATTGTACAGACTGAACAACAAATTGAAATGCCAACATCATTTAGAAGTCAGTCTGCATTTTTGAAAATGGGCACTTCACCTCACCTATCCCAAATGTTTTTGGCTCTGCATAATTATATAACAAGTAGTCTGGTTTCACCAAACCATGGAGCTTCTGTGTTCTGAACACATCCAGTCATTACACATGCAGTCATTATCAGTTCATCCTGAATTATTTTGCTCTAAATGTTTTTCAATGGCAATCTGCTCATTACTGTTGCCCACTTGACATGCTTTACATTGCTTGCTGGCAAAAGGATTTTGCAAAGAAGTGATGTGAGGAAAACATTTTCTCTTCGTTTCATTGCCGTACTGAAATGTGAGGTAGTTACAATAGACGACCTCGTTGTTCATGAAACCAAAGTTTACTCTGTGACTGACCTCTTGTATTGCATTCAATGTCAACCATTTGTTCTTTGGGTGTAAAAAGAGTGTTGAGTATCTGGTCTATATACTCCAGAGAACGCAAATGTTTGCACACTGCTGCAAAGGCAAATGTTTGCACACTGC